CCCCCCCCGTCCCCCAGCAGCCAAAAGACCGATTGGCAGCCCCTGCTGGACGCCCTGCACCTGCGGTATGCTGCAGAAGGTTGGCACATCTACAGGCAGCAACGAAATCAGCTTACACCACCTGTCAAGCGTCCATGAACGTCTCTTGGACCCCGTCTGCAGCCTACCGCAGCTGCTTGAGGGCATCACCCTGGCCCTGGAAAAAGGCGTAGCTGAGCACAAAGTCAAGCACAAAGATAGTCACAAGCGAGATGACTACTGCACTGGTGGTGGACTCGCCCACGCCCTTGGCGCCACCTGACGTTGTGAAACCCCACGCACAGCTGATCTACGGAGTGGACGCGGGGGATGACACAACAGCAGGGTATGCATTTGAAGGTTTGTGTGGGTGAGTGTAAATCACATATCTGCAGGCCATCACGTGCAGGTGAAACAGAATTCAAACATGCAATGCGACCTGTACCTTATTCTAGTCCTGCGATCCCCGTTGTCTGTGCCGACGACGTGCACGTCGCATTTTTTGAATTGTAAAGTTGCAGCGCTGAAGGCAGTGTGAATGCCATTGCACAGCGTCTTGGACCCACTCACCACTGATATAGCGGTGCTGAAGGCCCAGGCCTTGATCATGGAGGTGATGACATCGTAGCCAGTGAGGGCGCGTCTCGCGCTGTCAAGGATCACGTTGGCCGGCACATTGTACACCAGGTCAGCCAGCAGCACACTCGCGCCAATGCCTGGGGTGATCGCAACGGGGGTCAGATTTATGTAAGGTTTTCCAGAGGGGCAATTAATGTTTGGCTACCTGGAGGACTGCACTGCGTGTCAGACACCAGGCTGGAGACGTGGCGCCCCTAAGAACCCGGCCGCAGCAGCCTCAAACCCCCGTTGGCAGGATGTCCGCTGGGCACGCAGCAGTAGGGCCTCACAACATGGCGTACGAGTCATACCACGCGCCACCAGGGGGACCTACCCATGCAAAAGCAGAGGACGTTAAGGATGGGTCCTGCCAGCATGGAGGCCAGGACCCGCGGCGTCACGAGGTAATCCACCGGATCAGTGGCCAGCACACGCAGGGAGTCCACCTGCTCTGAAACCTGGGCGCGAAGATGGTGCCGTAGGGTGGGGAAGTGGGCAGGGGTCTGCAGCAAACAACGATGACACGAACGCATGGTTTCACCACAATGAAGCAGGCACGGACGCCCTGAATGCTTTCAAGGCGCTGACGGCCCACCACCTCATGGCAGGAACTTGCCTGCATGGTGCCAAGCTCAGCAGCAAACGCGCTGCCGACGCGTCCCGCCAGGATGATAGAGGTCACCACAGGAGTCAGCTCTCTGGCAAGCGCCAGAGCCAGCACACCACCCACACTGCGCGTCAGCCCCAGCTTGGCAAACTCCCGCACAAACTGGACAAGAAGAGGGGCGCAAGCCAAGGTGCTCGTGAGCGTGTGCGTGTGCGGGTTTGTGTGTGATATTTGCTGAGCTCTGTTTTGGTGCAAGCATGTTCAAATGCTACACTGATGCAAGTTGCTGCGACCTGTTGTGTGTCGGACTGAGAGCCAAAGATTCAACCTGCCACTTCTCGGCATCACACCTGGATTGTGAAGACCATGCCCACAAACCCCGCAGTCAGGAGCGCCACGCCCAGCGACTTGGGCCCAACCAACACCAGCTGGTCACGGGTGTTGCGCAGGTGAATTTTGCCTGAGAATGTGTTAGGCAAGGGTCAGCGTTGCGGGCATCATCATCATCAGCAGCAGAACCTCTGAGAGTTGGGCCAGCTTGCCGCTGCAACATAACATCAAGTGGAGAAGCTGAGCTGCAGCTCAAATCATTTGTGCCTCCCCACAAAGCAGCCCGCGCAGCTTTCCCATACTGCGCGCCTGTGCGCGCACCCTTGAATATGCGTGCCATGACCTGGCCCCCCAGCACAAGGCATGCCACTGTGCGGAACAGCCATTTTGGTGCCTTGAAGCGGTCCAGGTATGACAGCGCCGTCGACCCTGAGACCTGCTCCAGCAGGTCTACAGTTGCTGGGACCAGGAAAGCGGGCCGGCAGCAGCAGAGACCAGCTGCTATCAGAATGCCACCAAAACAATGTGTTGGGCCATGCAAAGGCCAGAGCAGTAGCAAGTGCACATGTTCGGCACAGCGCATCTGGGTAAGCTCACCCATCATGTCAGGGCCACCCTTGGCCCCAGCTGCGCTGCCTGGCGTCAAACTGGGCCTGCTGCCACTGCTCGGGCCGCCGCCGATGTTGTCAGGGGCCGGTGAGCCCGCCGCTGCCATGCTGTCTGTGCAGACCACCATGCGATCCGCTGGCCTGCACTTCTGCTGTTGCGCCAACAAAGGCCCGCCAGGCGGGCGCCATCGCTGCTGCAGTGGCGGCGCATGCAGCCACTGGCCCTGATGTATGCAAGAAATGCGGTGCTGCTGAATGCCTGGCCGCATGGTGGCATCCATCCTGTCGCACGCGGCGTGCTTTGACAGCACAATAATCGTGCCGTGATCTCCCCCGCGCAACAACCAGGCGGGATCTGCTAATTCTGATGATACAGTCTGTATTAAGACGTGCTGCGACCAGTGTTAGGGCCCCTGAGTGATCTCTGCAACGTTCACATCAATCACTCAGATGCTGTCGTGGACAACGCTTTGAGGCCGGACGTATGTTGTTGCTGTGACGAGACAAGGTATAGGACTGTTGCGCATTGCGCTTTCGCGCTCTGGAAAGGTGCGGTGTCCCGCCGCTGCCTTGTGATGATGACTGGATTGATGAATGACAACCGCCAGGCGAATTAGCCTCGTTGCAAGCGACGCTATTGGTAGTGTACCCCCGCCGACATATGTCCAACCTGATACTGTTACCTATCTACATGATACCTCAGTACCGATAACAAGCAAGGCCCCGCCACCCCGACAGCAGTGACAGGACGGTACAGCAGTAACCGGCAAAGGAATGTAGGTGAGGGGTGGTTGCGTACGTATGAAAGCTGAATTTAAGTATATATTGAACACCTTAGAGTTGTAGTCGACCGTCACCCTCTCACCGGGTGCAATGGTACGTGTGCCGCCTGCCGCGCGCAAGCAGCAGAGTGCTCAAAGCGAGTGGGGTATCCCTGCCCGTAACCGTTCCAAACCGTGTAAACTCAAAATCAGTGCCCTAGACTGCTCGGATTTATTAATAATCCCCCCGGCAGACGGTGCAAAAGGTGCAGGTGCCTCTGGACGACTAAGTGCTCCTGCACGACCAAGTGAAGGGTCTCAGTGCGTGATCTACTTGTAACTCCTGGAAAGAGCGGAAGGGATCGAGAAGTCCCACCAGCACTTGCTTCAACAAATGTCCTGCCGTATTTGCTGCGGCCGACGCAGGGTCAGTTGGACCTTAACCGGAGCACTGTCAACCCCTTTGCAGATGTGAGAACCGCATCACTGTCAGCCTGGTTGAGCATGGTCTACCAGTGTGGTGCAGGTACCGTACCTGCACCTTGGGGCCCAAAATGTTCCCTGGGGCCGAAATTGATTCACGAGAGGTCCACAGGCATCTGATAAGCGGCAGGCTGCACACGTGCCAGCAAAGCGGGTGTCCTTGCCTCGACTTCCGATTCTTGTATTGAGTGCTGTGCTGGGCTATTTCAAGCTGTGTCTTGGGCATTGGCGCTGTAGGTGTTCCACCAAGCACAGCTTAAGCACATAGCAGGATCAGCACGCACGCATGTTGCAGGATCAGCATGCACCTGCAGCAAATGGTGCGACCACGCATGGCACCACCCATGAGTACTGCAAGCCGAAGGCGCGGCGCAACATGTGCATACAGGAGCAGCACACAGAACAAATAGCGACGCCCATGATGACCAGACACATGTGATGCGCCCTGTGGGAACTCAAGTTGGTGCCGCAGGCCAACTGCCTCATCCGCGCCCGGCGCCCCAATGGCTGGGAAGAAACAGCACACGCCTCCTGCTCTGTGCTTCACTACACAGGTAATACGTGCCCTGTGTTGTCGCCTAGCACACCTGCCTGCAGTCAACCAAGGCACACCAAGACCAATGTCTGCAGCTTACATCACAGTTGCAGCCACTGCTTAGCCCGCTCAGCTGAGTGCGCAAGCCAAGCAAAATCCTCCTCCGCACAGAACTGCTCGACCTGCCCACATCCAACAGGCGCCTCTGCCGCAGAGTTGAATTGCACCATGGCCGCAGCTGCACGTCCGTCCAACAGCCCTGCCACCACCCCTCGCCGGCGCTGCAGGGCCTCGTCAAAGCCCTCGAGAGCGCCCATCAGGGCTGCCCTGACTGCTGCAAACATCGCAGCACTGGTCGCCTCTGGCGCCAAGCCATGCTTGCTGGTGTGCTTGCTGTGGCCCGCTACAGAGGCGCCGGCCGCCTGGCGAGCTTCTGCGACCGTCACCGGAATGACCACCGCCAGGTTAAGCAGCTGCTCCTGTAAAGCCGCCTCAACCATGGACCTCTGGCAGGTGGGAATTTGTGCTGCCGCCGTAGCTACCTGCAAACGCTTGGCTAGCACGGCCGCCACCTGCCTGTTGGCTGTCCCTGACGCTATCACATTGACTGTGCTGGCAGTGGCGGCTGCAATCGCCACGGATGGGCGAGGCCCAGACATGGGCGAGGGGACGCGTTCGCCGTTCGTCACCAAGATGCCGCGGGGTGCTGCACCAGTTGAGGGCGCAGGGCTGCCGCCGCCGCTGAGCCCTGCACTAGGAGCTGTGATCAGCTGAAGTGGGCCAGTCCCGAGCGCATCAATGGCGTGAACGAGGTCAGCGATGGCAGCAATGGAGCCGTCCCACTGCGATGGATAGCTGGCCAGCAGCTGCTCTGCAGGGTCTGCCTCCTTACGTTTTGACGAACCACCTGTGGTAGTAGCGTTGCAGGTCAGCATGGGTTGAGGATGTCAGGTGAACACTGGGTGGTATCAGGGGCAGCGTTGCTGCAGAGCAGGTCATAAACAAAGGGTGGGGCTGTTTTGCAGACAACCTCACCTCTGTTGTTGGGCTTGGTCTCTGGCATCATGGGAGGTGTCAATGTCGCAAGTGACGCCCTATAGATCGCGTCCAGGCGGCGCTGTGTTTGGGGGCTGTAGTAGACAGGTGGATCCATGCCCACATTTGCAGCGGCAAAGCGCCTTGACTCCTGTTGTTCCTTGGCCTGCTGCTCCTGCTGGTCCCAACCAATTGCTGCAAGATTTGGGGGCCCCACACGGGGCCTTATGGGTAGATCTTGAACGATGTGCTCCAGGACTGCTGCCACCTGTTGTCCAGTGTTGCGCGACAACTAAATCAGGCGGTAGTGATGCAGGGGATGGATACCTTTTCAACGGCCCCTGCCACCCCGGCCTTGATGGCTGCCACAAGTGACTAAATGATATGCTGACACCCTGCCTGCCTCACCTGCCGGTCCCTCTCACGTCGCTGCATGCCGGCCTCAAGCTGCAGCTTCGCCAGTTCAGGCTGGCCCAGCTCTGGGGGCACCGCAAGACCCCGCAGCAGAACCTGCAGCAGGAGTTATGAAAGAACAGTTGCAAAGAATGGCCAGCCTGTATGTGCTGGCATTATGTTGGCGGTTGGCTGGGCGGTAGTGCTGCTTGGGGCTAACCTCAGAGCGTTGAGTGGTTGTAATGAGGTACCATGGCTGGCAAGTTCAATTCAGGCAAGCACGAGGGAGCTCACCTCCACTGGTGCGCCGGCTCGGTGATGCATGCCCATAGAAGGCAGCGGTGGGGTGGTGGCCATGCTCCAGGACTCGCTGAACACCCCAGGGTCAGGGCACCTGAAAGTGAACACAAATTCCCGCACTTCTCCTGGCAGGATGACACCCGCACGGTCTGAAAGGTAGAAACGCGCTTGCTGGAGAGACAGTTTGCAAGGAATGTCTGGGACTTCACCATCCTTGACATCTCCTTGACCCTCATCGCCGCCGCCGCCGCCACCGCTGCCGCCGCGCTCGCATGTGCTGCTGCTGGACGTGGCCCACCTGAAATAGACTGCAGAGGTGCCCGTGCTGGTGACTGTCAGCACTGCGGAGGCGCCGTCGTCCCCTGCCACGCCCATCATCACCAGCCGGTTGCTGCCAAACACAAGATGGGGCCCAGGCCGTTTCTGTAGCTGCTGCGCTGCGGCGCGTGCTGCTGTGCGCGCTTCACGCTCTGCCTCTGCTGCTTCTGCCTCTGCAAATGTTCTCTCGGCCTCAAGCTTCAAGGCCTGAGGGCATGCACGTCATGACAGTGGTGTGACTGCAAGACACAAGCTCGTTGTTTGAAAAATTAGGTTATAAACACCTTCGAAGATGCAAGCCCAGTTGCACACGCAACCCCTGCCCCCTTGTTGGCAGGCCCACCTGATACTCCTGAAAAACCTGGGGTTGGCGGCGCTGCAGCACCTGCTCAACGTCCTGAAGGCACACTGGAGCCTGACATGCGTCCCATGCGGCTGCCTCCGCACTCGTACCGCACACTGCCAGCAGCTCCGCTTGGGGGGCTGGAGCTTGACCGACCTGCTCAGCGTAGGTAGGGGCACAAGTGAGCTTTGAGCTGCCCATTCCCACCTCAGGAATGGCGCTCAGCAACTCCCCAAGTTGTGAAGTGTTTCACATTTTGCCCGCACCTGGAGCCGCTGCTGTGCTTCTGCCAGGCGCGCCTTCAAATAGGAGGAGTGCTCCCACATCTTTGATTGGCGGCAAGAGCTCGTCGTGCTGCTGCCGCTGCCGCCGCTGGTGGCTAGACTGGCTGCTGCCTTGCCAGCTGGGATGGAGGGTCGCAGTGCGGGCACTCGCACCGTGGTGAGTGGGTGCGATGCAGTGTCAATGCGCCTGACGCTGAGAAAGAGTCCTGAGAACATGTTTCCCACCTAGACGGCAGGGGGAGGCGCAGGGGCAGTGGCGCACCTCTATGAAGTTCGTTGCAAGATGGCATCACTCAGAGGACCGCAACGGGCAATGGTGAAACCTCCACCCTGCATTGGCATTCACAAGTGGCAAACCGTTGCTGGCCATTCCCAAGAACCTGGTGATCCGACCTGCACATAGCGCTCCCCGGCGTTGCGCAGCATCATGTTCCAGCCACATGCGTCCGTACCCAGCTGAGGCGCAGCCTGCTCGAGCAGCTGTAATTGCTCCTGCTTACGCCGCCATGCACCACTGGCTGCGCGGAGATCAGGGCAGTGTGATTACATATGTGACTGCATGTGCAAGCACACGCGGTTGATAGCCCGCATATACTTGCAAGTCATGAGCTGACACAGGAAGTTGGTCAGCAACAAAGCAGGCCCATCTTGACCCAGTCGAAAGGTTAACCCAGTCAGAAGGTATTCAAAAACCTCGCACGCATATACGTCACCTTGCGCCAGGGCCACATCCTCTGCGGACTTGCCAATTGTGGTGGCCAGCTGCTTTGCACAAGCTTCCCACTCTGCTTGCTGCGCATCCCACCGCGCCATCACCCTCGCATCATGACCCTGTGCAAGTGCAGCGCACGCAACCAGCAGCCGCGCCGTGAGCTTGGTGGTAGGCTGCAAACCAATACTGCGCTCCAAGTGCTCATTCAGAGTTACAGTGAATATTTCCTACAAGGTGACAAACTCAGCATCCACGCCCAGACAACTACGTACCCACCTCTGCCAGCTCGTCGTCGACAGTGCGCTTTGTCAACAGCTGCCCCACTGCAACTGCCGCCGCTGGTCGCTGCTCCGGCCGTAAGAGGCTGTTGCTGCTGACAGCCAGCTGTGTTGTGTCAGTCAAGCGCTTGGTGCGCGCGTGACTCAGTGTGCGCAGCACGTTTTCCCTGGATGCAAGAGTGGAACGAGCGTCTGCTCACGTGCGTCACAGCCTGCACGACTTTGACCTGTGCTCACTTGCCCAAAGTGCCATACATACAACCGACCTCGTAATTGATGCACATGCAGACAGCCCGTATCAGCCTACTCCAAGTGCGTATCTGTGCCTGCACTCACCTGTCATGTTGCAGCTCAACGCAGAGACGCAGCAGCAACGTGCCGCGCGGCCCCAGCAGGCGCGATGCGTCCCATACGGCCTGCGGGATGCTGCCAGGCTCCAGTAATCCCATCCTACCCCCGACATCCTCTGCGGGCTGGTCGCGCTGTTGCAGCTGAGTCCGCTGCAGCTGAAAGGCGGTTGCATCACCTAGGCAGACACTGGGCTGGAATGACTGCAACACAGTGCGCATGCCTGTGGCGGTGTTGGGCGCTGTGTTCACTTCGCCAGGCGTGTCAAGTGCTTCCTTCAATGATTCCCTCATCTGTGTCTGGCACGGAGCACATGAATACTCTACACGCCCCACGCAGTCGGTCAACAGCCAAAGCTCAAGTCGTGGCGTTTCGATGTCCCTTCTTGAATTTTTAATGAGTTATTCATCGATCCAATCTAAAAATGATCCAGACTAGATCGGTGAGGCTGCCCTTGGCACTGGCTTGAAAGAAGGTGCAGTGCTCAGCTGGAAAGACGCGAGGCTCGAGTCACTTATCATACATGTTCGGAAACCGGATTGAATTGTATGTATATACGCAAACAGCCTGTACCATCAACAACCTATGATTGTATTGCCACGCATCCCGATTTACAATTTGCGCGTAGCTGAACCTTGCGTTTTCCCGTCCCCGACTCCTTTGTAATTGATTTTGAAGAGCTTCAACAAGATATATGTCGCGATACAACCCCATCACGCACTATGGAGAGTTGGGGGCTCCTGAGGAGCAGCGCACCAAGGGCCTGAGGCTCTCGACGATATCGACGCACGGACACCTTGGAGGTGGTGCGTGCATCCCCACGGCAGCGGCGGACTTGTCCAAGAGCACAGCCTTCTTCAGAAGTGAGCCTCACATCTCCGCCAAGGTAGACCACCTCAGCGGCGGTGCCTGCGCACCTCGGGCTGGGACACAGGAGACGGCCAACCTGTCACCTGTTCGGGAGGTCGGGGTCAACCTGCGGGCATCGGTCGACCATCTTTCTGGTGCGCAAGCATGAAATTGCTGCAATTTTTTTGATTGTGGGCATGGTCTTGGAATTGCCACCGCTTGCCTTCGACCAGCAGTGTGCCTTGCAGTGTCAAGTGCCGTTGCACAGATGCCCGATGCTCAGAGGTGTTGATGTAGCCATTAAGCTCTTCCATTGGGCATGTCCCGCGCAGGCAGTGCATGTGCAGTACGTGATGTCGTGACGCAGGTAAGCACGCGGCCTGGGGTGAAGCAATGTGTCAACACAATGGATATGAGTCGTTATAAATCGCCCCAAATGGCTCATTGCGCCCCCAAGGATAGTCTTGCAATATTTTTTGGGTCAAGCTTGTATGGAACGTTAGGATTGAAAGCCCATCCTGGTGACTTGTTCTCGGTCTTTGTCCAATGTCACCCCAGGCCACAAAGGAGGTCGTTGCACCAACCATCGCGCGCGGCATGATTACCAAGCATACCAAGGATAAAATGGTAGGGAGCTAGTTCTTGGTTGTCAAAAAGGCGGCTTGGCCTGAACCCTCAATCATCATCCCCATCATGGGCGAATCCTCACCGTTGTGTGCCGTACACAACAAACGCAGGCAGCCAAGGAGATGCACGAAGCGATGTTCCAGAGCATTGTGTTCAAGAGGCACTGATGGTTCTAGGCCGCTACAGGCACAGAGATATATGAACAACATCGAGCGCTCTGGCCACTGTGTGCTTCGATCGCTGGCCGGCATGCCCTTTGTGCCTCGCCGCTGCATAATTTACCTGCAATGCAGCATACCATACGACTTATTTGTTTGCGCCCAGTAAATCATGTTGGTACAGCTCAACTCCACCGTACCATGCATGCAGTGACGATACGTGCGTTACCGTGAGGTGCCTGGAGTGGTCACCACCGCAGACACCGCCCATGGCAGATGAGGCAGGCAGCAGTATGCTCAAAAGCGATCAGGCTAACCCCGCCCGTACCCGTTCCACCGGATTCCCTCAATACACCATCACCTGGTACGCTACAAGATATGGTCGCTCGTGCTTCTGATGTTGGGAGCGCCGAACGGTGTCGGTATGATACCGTACAGTCATGCTTGCCTTGTCACCTGGTGACCCTCGCGCCCCTTGTTTTGATGATCTCGGGAGCAGCGATTCATATTGCTTTTTTGCTGATGTCTGTGCTCTCCATCAATTGACGCAGCCTATACAACACGGCCAGAGCAGCCCCAGAGCAGGCCAACCACCACTCGCGGGGGTCTTGCGACCATGGCGGTGCGCCCCCTGGGCTACGCTTGATCAATTAACTTTATGAGTTCCGCACGCTTGAGGGGCGGACGGCCTGATTTCAGAGTCCACGCGCAACGTGGCACTGCAGGAACAATGGCCCGCTTTCGAGGCAAAGATGAGGGCCAGGGGACTCAGCGAGGCCGCGATCGGCGCGTTCAAGGGGAACTTCGACCAACTGGTGGCTGGCGCGACTGGCATGGTGCGCGCCGCCGCTGCTCCAGCGGGCTGGCTGGTGATGCGCAAGCCCTGCGTTCCTAGAGCTGCGTGTCGTGAGCGCAAGAGGTGACACCCGCGTCTTACCGAGTGGCCAGGCACAAAACCCTGGCATATGTCCCTTTCCTCCAACAGGTTCCTGAGGAAGAGATTGAGGCGGTGACGGACCTCCCCGACCTGCGCAGCCTCGCCGGCACCAACGGTCACGTGCAGGTGCCACAGCTTTTTGCTTTGTGCCGTCTGTCTAAATGCAGGATTAACCTGGGCTTCGTCGTCAACACTGCCACCATTGAATAACCAGACTTTGATTTAAATTTTACACCGATTGCACCTTCTTTCCACCAGGCCCTGCTCAAGAAGACCGCGGTGCTCAAGCTCAATGGGGGCCTGGGCACCAGCATGGGCTTGGAGAAGGCCAAGAGCCTGCTGGAGGTGGGAGAGGAGTAGATGTAGCAGCAGGCTCGCGCAGAGACGCACTCGCGTTATGCAAGGCTCGTCTCAGCATGCAGAACAGCCACAGTAGCTGCAGGACTGCCCTGACACCTTATGCCGCAGCCAGCTGCACAGGTCTGGAATTGCATAAGGGGTTGCACTGTTCTCATGGCCCCAAACATCTTCCATATCGTCACTCCCACCGTTGCAGGTGAAGGACGGCAAGACGTTCCTGGACCTGATAGCTGAGCAGGTCAAGGTGATGCGCCAGCAGCATGGCAGCGACGTCAAGTTTGTCCTGATGAACAGCTTCTCCACAAGCGAGGACACAAGGGAGTTCCTGGCACGCGCTCACAAAGACCTTCTTCAGGTGATGCGGGTCCTAGCGGGGGCTGGTTGCAATTGTAGCAAGCATTCTGTCGCGCAATGCAGACAATGCGCCCTCCAGGCAGTGATGGCAACACGCTGTTCGCACTTGCTGTCATGTCGTTTTGCAGGTTTTTTTCCCCAACGTTTGCCCCTTGCTGGCCGGCACCTCTGATCCTCCTCCTCTTGTCCTCTTTTGCAACAGGAACCAGACATTGAGCTGCTGCAAAACATGTCGCCTAAGGTGGACGCGGCCTCCTTTGCACCTGCTAGCTACCCTCAGGACCCAGAAATGGAGTGGTGCGGTGACCGGGGAGACTCTACTTTGGCTGCTGGTGCTTCTCAATGGGTTGCAGCCAGGGATTGTGGTGGTTCTGAAAGCGCGCCCAACGGAGGGGGGAGCATAGATTGCCATGGGTTTGTTGTGCTCCTCCAAGCTTGCCCTGCTTCTGATGAAGGACAGTCTTGAAACCTGAGATGGGTATTGTGCCACTGGCGGCTGTGGTGCTCTTTGCTGCACATCCCGTGCAGGTGTCCCCCTGGCCACGGCGATATCTACCCCTCGCTGCTGGGCAGCGGCATGCTGGACTCTCTAGCCAGCCAGGGCATCAAGTACTTGTTTGTGAGCAACAGCGACAACCTGGGAGCCACCTTGGACCTGCAGCTGCTGCAGCACTTTGCCTCCTGTGAGGCAGCCTTCATGATGGAGGTCTGTGAGCGCACTGCAGCCGACAAGAAGGGTGGACATCTGGCGCGCAGGAAGGTGGATGGTGGGTGCCTCTTGGGGGGCTGGCGGGGGCGCGCGCTGTGGAAGCAGCAGCTGCGGCTGCGACGGGCAGTAGCAAGAGGTCTTTACGCATGGAGGTTGTCCACGAGAGGCGGTCTCGTCTCTGCCATGCAAATGCGTCCCTGGCTTGGTCAAGGATCTTGAGGTTCCCCTCTGACTTGTTGTTGGCGAAGTCGCAACCGCGGTAATACTCAAACCCTCCACCAGGCAAATTGATGCTGCGCGAGAGCGCCATGTGCCCCGACGCTGACAAGGCATCTTTTGAGGACATCAGCCGTCACAAGTACTTCAACACAAACAATCTTTGGGTCAATCTGCCTGCACTCAAGGTTGGTGCATTCCGTATGTGGATTGTTTTCAGCCGTGTGGGTTGGTCTGACGCTCTTGTTGTACTACTTGTTTCCGGAAGGGAATTGTAAGCAGGTAGCAGGCATAGGCGTGAATGGTCTCGCATTGTATAAGTTCAGTTTGAGGCTGTCGCCTCTTCCTTACCACCTGTTTCAGGCGACATTGGATGCCAACGGCGGCGTGCTGCCCCTGCCGCTGATCAAGAACAAGAAGACGGTCAACCCGCGTGACAGCTCCAGCGCGCCAGTGTTCCAGCTGGAGACGGCTATGGGCAGTGCCATTGAGTGCTTTGACAGCGCCACTGCGGTGGTGGTGCCGCGCTCGCGGTTTGCACCAGTCAAAACCACTGGGTATGCAGGGGGAGAGGACACTCGGGAAGTGGTTGGGTGGAGACATTGCTGACCTCTGCACGGCTGTGTTGAAGATCGATGGCCACCGGGTGGGGCTACCGCCTGCTTGATGCTGATGACGTGCCCACACTGCAAGCAACCAGCACAGTCAACATGGGCATGGATTTTGCAGCTGAAATGCCCCAAGATCATGTACCCAGTTGCACTGAGGCTGCTGGACCCTTCACCACCCCCTCCACAGCGACCTTTTCGTGCTGCGTTCGGATGTGTACATCATCACGCCTCAAGCGACGGTGGAAGCTGTCTCAGCTCACGTGAGCGTTTTTGGCTTGTGTGCCGTGAGGGCACCCAAAGTGGGTCCGCTGAGCTGTGAAGCAGAGTTTGACGCGGTGCCTTTGTAGTCGGGCAGTTGAGTTGGCTGCTGTCCAGCTGTCTCCTTCTTTCACCCCCCTGTCCCCACCCCAGGTCCCGCTGGTGAAGCTGGACGATGCCTACTACAAGCTGGTGGACAAGCTGGAGCGCCTCACAAAGGCCGCACCCAGCCTCAGGGCGTGCAAGAGCCTCACAGTCAAGGGGCCTGTGCGGTTCGGCGAGGGTGTTGTGATCAGGTAGGCCCTTGTGATGGGTTTGGGAAGTGCCAACGTGCAGCTGTAGGCCTGCCACTTTTCCAGACCAAATTCGTTGCCACACGCAGGCCAGAAGCCATGCACATTCATCATGTGGTCGTGTGCCTTCTCTCAAGACCACTCCCACTCGCTTTTAACGATGCCAGGGGTGACGTGACGCTCGAGTGCCCTGGACCTGAGCCCGTTTCCCTTTGCAACGTGACACTGGACAGTGGCAAGCACACTGTCAAGGAGCCGGAGGTACCCCGGGTATCGGACGGGGCTCCTGTGCCTGCGTTTGCCTAGAAAGCGTTTGTGAAGTACTTTGCAGGAGTCAGAAAGGTAGCTGGTTATACGTCTGTACTGCACCTCGTTTTTCGACGAAGGCGACATGATTGGAATGGTGGTGGCCTTTGTTTTGTGGCGGCGCTGTTTGTGGGTAGGAAAAAGACGGCTGCCCCACTACCCCCTTGGTCATATCTTGCACTTTGAGCTGTGTGCTTTCGCTTCCTGTATTGTGTGTGTGCATCTCAAGTCGCGCAGGGAGAAACCAGCTGCAAGCATGACTGTAATTGTGCAAAGTAGTGTGGTATTGGCTTGGAATGGACTGGGATGGGTCGCAAGAACTTCATTGCGGAGGGCTCTGTAGCCTAAAATGGTTCCCCAGGCCTGAACATGGAGCGTCATGCCCAGCACGGCAACCATGGCCTGCGCTTCTGCCAGAGAAAGGGTAGCCATTCAAGCACCACCACTACAAAATTTGGCAGCACGCTAAGTTGTTTGACTTTTCAGGTGTATTGCCGCGCGGCGTCGCTACGGTATCAGATAGGGTGGAATGGGAAGGAATCCTGTGACAGCGCTGACGCATGCAGCAGTGAGGCTGCAGGCTGAACACTTAAGTCATTGCCGGCGCTAGACAACTCAGCTTTGGTGGCGCCCAAGGTATGATGACCTTGCGCCCGCAATCCTGCATGTTGATTCGCACTTGTTTTCCACAGGCAGTGGTCATGTCCACAAAGTCACCCAGACACTCTGCCACAGTTGGTTTCAAGCTGACGCCATCAGTCGCCCCCTTAGAAAGCAAGCAGCCAAGTCAAGCGAACAGCAGCTGATTCCGGTCTTTAGGTCTCTTTACAGTGCGGTCTGTGAGTATCACGAACACGCAAACAGGTCTCTTTCCGCCACTCAGAGCACACACAGGCCTCGCCGAGGCGGCATGGCTGCGCCCCAGCTCAACGCCGCGGCCGTCGCAAACTTAGCAAAGGTAGTGGACCTACTCTCTGATCGGTGCCGCTGCCCTCCGCTGCACGCTGCAGCCAGATCACACAGCGCCGATCGCCACTCTGTTTTGTCTCGCACCGTCTCACAGGTGTTGATAGGAGGCAGCGCAGCAGTCTATGGCATTTCCAACAGCCTTTTCAACGTGGAGGGCGGCCACCGGGCAATCGTGTTCAATCGCCTCGTCGGCATCAAGGAGTCGGTGCGCACGGGTCGCGTTGTATAATAATGATTTCAGCGGCCATCCTACAAAGGGCCGAGCCCCTGGCGCGTGTGCTGTGGTAGCAGTGGCAGTGGCAGTGCCGCTGTGTGCCGCTGCTGCTGCTGGTGGTGGTGGAGATGGTGCTGCTGTTGCCACTTATGCCGCTGCTGCTGCTGCTGCTGCTGCTGCTGCTGCTGTGTGCGCTTTGCTCGCTCATGCTTCCCATGCTGCTTGACTTGCACCGTCATGCATGGTCTTCCACACCTTCACTCCTGCTTCACGGCTCACCCGCATTCCCGCTGCATGGCTTTTTGGACGACTTCACAGGTCTACCAAGAGGGGACACACCTGATGGTTCCATGGTTTGATCGGCCAATCATTTACGATGTGCGGGCGCGCCCCAGCCTCATCTCCAGCACCAGCGGCAGTCGCGATCTGCAGATGGTGCGCTGATTGGACGGATGGCTTGTTGAGGGCCACACAGAGCACGAGCGGCGACACGAACTGGTTGTGTAGTGGTGCTGGCCGTGAAGGGTGCAGGCTATTCTTAGTTTCCAATGTCCCGGCATGTCGTGCATCGCACCACAGGTCAACATCGGGCTGCGTGTGCTGACTCGGCCAAACCCAGACAAGCTGCCGGACCTCTACAGGCGAGTTGCAACAAGGGACGGTGGTGCAGTGGGCTGCGAGCATCAGCGGCAGACAGGTCCCGGCGGCTACGGCTGCCTGGCAGGGCCTGTCGCCACTTTAATGCATAGCATGTGCTCGTCTGCACATCAGCTGTCTTGGCTGTAGAGCAGCTCTTGCAAATCATCTACTGCTTGTCCCCTCTACCATCAAGCGCACGCACCAGTGCAGGCCGTGGGCACCCGCACCTTATTTTACTGCCCCCCATTCTTCGCCGTGCCAACCCGCTTCCAGGACCCTGGGAACCGATTATGCAGAGCGTGTCCTGCCGTCAATAATTCAAGAGACACTGAAGAGCGTGGTGGCGCAGTACAACGCAGCACAGCTGCTGACGATGCGTGAGGTGGTAAGCAAGGACATCCGCCGCATCCTGGGAGAGCGTGCGCGCTACTTTGGCATCATTCTGGAGGACGTCTCCATAACTGCGCTCACGTTCAGCAAGGAGTACACCGCGGCCGTGGAAGCCAAGCAGGTGGCGCAGCAGGAGGCGGAGCGCGCCAAGTTCATCGTCGACAAGGCGCTGCAGGACAAGCAAAGCGCAATTGTGCGCGCACAGGGAGAGGCGCAGAGCGCTCGCCTCATTGGCCAGGCCATCCAGCAGAACCCCGCCTTCATTGCTCTCCGCAAGATTGAGGTTAGCAGGGGTTTGGTGTGGCCGGGCTGAGCCTGAGGCTGGGGTGTCAACCCATTGATGGACGTTTTTGAGGGGGATTACAGTTGTGCTGCGGTCACGTTCCTGCGGACGGCAGCCTCTCCAGGGCGGAGACCTGTCCACTTGGGCTGGCTGTGCAGCATCGCCCTGGCACCCCCCCGCGCCTCAACGCCCCCTTCACCCTCTCTCCGCACCAACCAGGCGGCGCGCGACATCGCCGGGACCATCGCCAGCAGCGCCAACCGTGTGTTCCTGAATGCGGAGAGCTTGATGCTCAATATAGCGGACATCCAGACCAACATCACCAAGAAACCCTGAGAGTCCGCTAGCTTCTGCCCTGTGTTGTTGCGCGAGTGGTGGCTGCCTGGTTGCACTTAGCGAGCTGCAGATGAGTGTTCTTGGGATTGGTAAAGGCATGCAATTGTAATGTTCCTATATTTTTCACACAACATGATGCTTAGACACATGTGGGGGCCTGTGGCGACCGCTTGTTGTGTGATCCCACGTGACGGCGGGACGTGGGGCGCGGAGGCCGCTCGCAGGGGACCTGAACGTCGCAGAGCCACATATGATAATTCTTGCTTCATCCCTCACACATAGTCGGCCTGGCTGCCTGGCGCAAGCGGAGCGGCTTGGCCAAAGCCACAACGAAAGGCCACAACTGCCCAGTGCCAGTGCCAGCAATGCCTGGCACTGCTGCATAGTGCCGGGCTTCCTGGGATGGAGTTGCTGCTCGGGGCAACAGCTTGAAGTGACGATAATGCTATACAGTATGTCCCAATAGTTTCGACAACGCGCACTCTAGGCGTGCCAGGTCGTACCATACCTCCCGCTTGCCTGCATATGTGCATCACGGCTAACCAACCCCGTCGTAAATTATATCCTTTGTTGATAATCCCGGCTGGTATAGCTGCAGCTTTCATCCAGATCTGAGGGGACAGCCTTCTATCACTACAGTAGCAGAGGGCGCGAATGTCAGCCAGTGCGACTGTACCCACACCTGTTGCATGTCAGGGCGATGGAGCCGCGGCCGCTGAGCCAGCGGAGTTGGAGCGTGCACACAAGCGGCCCAGAACCAGCGCAGGCGGCGGCAATGGGAGCGATGCCCACAACAGCTCGTGCAATGGGGAGGACGACCTGCATGGCTCGCCAATCAGGCGGCAGCATGGCAGCCACGGGCACCTGCGATGGCGTCACGCCGTCGATGAGCCTGAGGAGGGTGCCAGCCCTGTTGACGGGAAAGGTGGCGCCAGCGGCGATGCTGGCGCCAGTGACTTTTGCCAGGGCGGCCGGTGCAGCAGCGGGGCGCTCGCAGCCAGCCCGCAAGCTGCAGCAGCAACGGAGGCTGACACGGGTGGAGGCGACAAAGAGCCCTTCACGGGCAAGCCTGGCAGCGATGCGCGGCCTAGCAAACTGAAGGTGGGCCATGGCAGTGCGCTAACCATGGCACCGCTGTCACTTGGTGCCCTGCGCAGTCCCATGGCTTAACCTTTGCTTTGCTTTATTTTTGTGTGGACACCCCTCTTTCAGGCCCAGCTCAGCTTTGCGTACGAGGTGGAGGGAGAGGAGGAGGGTCGGGCAGCGGACGGCGACAGCGGTGGCAAAGGTGGGGGGCTGCGTGCAGCGACAGCCATTCGTTTCAAGCAAGAGAAGCGTATGGCCAGGCAGCATCAGCAACAGCAGCAACAACAGCAGCAGCAGCAGCAGCACGTCCACCTTTTCAATGCCCATCGCAGCAATGCTGGCAGCATTGGCGAAGACGGCCACCTGGATGCCAGCGAGCAGGGCGCCCTGCGCAACGGCCGCAGTGCTCTTGCGCTGGTGGACGATGATGGCGACGAAGGCAATGGCACGCTGCGCCTCGGCGCACGCACAGCTGCGCATTCGCTGGGCCGAATCCATTTCGGCGCTGCGCAGGCGCGGGGCATGCGGCCTTACATGGAGGACCGCCACTGCGTGGTGGCCGCGATGCAGCTGCTGTCGAGCGCCCAGGGCGGTGGCGCGCAGGCTGGGGCGCCGCTGCCATCTGACGGTGTTCCTCGCAGCTACGCAGCCATCTTTGACGGTGGGCCTCACACGAGGGCACGCGTTAGCACAGGAATTGCGCTGCAATCACCATTGGTGCGAGCGCTCGGCAGCGTGCGAGCCTTGCAGTAGTCTACTTGGGCTGTATCCGGCCCGATGCCACTCAGCCTTCCATCCTATCGCTTGCAGGACACAACGGTGCTGGTGCTGCTGACCTGGCGGCTGCACGCCTGCATGTACTGCTGGCAGCTCACCCAGCGCTTCGCATGCACACGGGCGAGCTGGGCCCCCCGGCAGTTGCGCGTGCAGAGGAGGTCGCGATCGCAGGCGCGCTGCGGTCAGCGTTCGGGCAGGTGGACGAGGCCACGCTGGCGGTGTCGAGGCGGGAGGGCGTGCGCGATGGCGCGACAGCCCTGGTGGTCCTGCGGCTAGGGCAGGTACAGGCAGGGGTGTGAGGATGGGACGGGGGTTGCGTGCCAGCCCTCCTATTTTTCTATTGTCCAACAATGCAGCTTTGGGGCGACCATGAATAAGTGCAGTGTGGTGCTTTTGACCTGGAACCGCCCATGCCCCCTCAAACATATCCCAGGTGCTGTACGCGGCACACGCGGGCGACAGCAGAGCAGTGATGGTGGGTTCCTCTTTGTTCTATTCCGTCGTCTTGCAGGCCAGCTGGACGTGCAGCAGGCGCAATGGCTGGAGTACAACACCATGGGCCAAGACTGGCTGGGTATCAGAGCGGGCAGCGCTTTGTGGTGCGACTTAGCACCGCGACTCTTGTCTTAAACCCGTCTCTGAGACCCGCCGCCCTTTGTCCCCTTGAACCTGCACCGCAGTGCCGTGACGGAGCTGCCCTACGCCTGACGGAAGATCACAAACCGCACCTGCCGCGGGAGCGCGCGCGCATCGAGGACGCAGGTGGCCGCGTCGACTTCCAGCGCTGCTGGCGCGTTGTGGTGGAGCCTCGCGATGGGCGGCCGGGTAGCGGCCTTGCCGTCTCCAGGTGTGTGCTAATGGGCTTGCGAGGGCACGCGAGCATTGCCAGCGACATGGCATGATTGTTTGCAACCTTGTGGTTGTGAGGCCCACCCGATGCCCAAGGGCTGCTGCTTTCTGCTGGCCCTGCAGGTCCCTGGGCGACCTGGACTTCAAGGAACCCCACAAGTGAGCAAGCCTTGCCCCCCTCAGCACGTGGACAATAATGCAGCAGTACAATGCCATGCGTGGCGCTTTGCACAGTTTTTCAAGTCACATCTCACCGCCCTTTGAAGAGTGTTTTCCCCTTCGTGCACAGTGCCCTATCTGACTTTGCCTGCTGCGCACGCAGGTACGTCGAATGTGAGCCTGATGTGCTGCGAGTGGCCATGCGGCCGCTGCAGGCATCTGGCTGTGGCGATGCATTCATAATTCTGGGCAGCGATGGGCTGTGGGACGTGCTCAGCGACGAGGACGCTGTGCACTGTGCCAAGCGCGCGTTTCAGGTGGGTGGACTCGTATTGGGCGACATGCCCGGGCAACGCTGCTGGCATTGGGGCGGGGCAGAAACAGTGTCATGTAGCTGGCTTTATGATGCATGGGATCACAGCAATGACCCCGTTGTTGTGTTTGCTGGACATGCACACCATGCACGGAGCATAAGTCTGCGAACCATGCTGATATTTGCATCTCCATCACTCCGCATCCTTATTGCAACACCAGGCGTCTAGGAGTGGAGAGGGCAAAGTTGCGGATGGCGATGCAGAGGCCAAGGCAGCGGCGGACGCGCTGCTAGAGGAAAGCTTGCGGCGTGGCACTGCTGACAATGTGACAGTTGTAGTCATGCTGCTAGCCTGGGCTTAGCTGGTGTTGCTGCATGTACGTAGGGCATCGTGACCTTTGCTGTGCTGTGTAACACAAGCAGCGTTGCACACTCACGCGGTCACCACACTGCATCACAACATTCAGGCCCGCAGAGCTATGGAGCATGGCCCCGGAGGACTAGGAAAACAGCACAAACGCACACTGTCAGGAGTGACATAGGGGGACTGGCCCCCTCCCCATCACTTTGGTGGGGGGTGGCGCGGCGGCCTCGGCCCCCGCAAGCCGGCCCCCTCTTCCCAAATTTACGCGGGCGTTACAGCCTGCGTAGCCTCTCTCTCTCTTTCTCTCTCTCTCTCTCTCTCTCTCTCTCTCTCTCTCTCTCTCTCTCTCTCTCTTACAAGCAGCGTTGAAATGGTCCCTCACACAAAATATACGTGTTGCGCATCGACTGTTCTCCACTGTGTGCAAGCTGATCTTAACAACATAACACAGCACAGGAAGTTGTCCAATAGAACCAGGACTTTTGTTGCGCCCGTCTAGCGCGGCCCCTGTCATGCCATACAGTGACGCACGCCCCAAAGCGGTTCACAGCGCACGCGCTTTGCTTGGCCTTTGGGCATGCCCTTGCAGACCAGCAGGCAGTGCCCTTTGGCATCTCGCTTCCGTGGCTTTTGCGCCGCGCTTGCATTGATGCAGGCGGTTCTCCATAGACTCCTGCCTATATGCAGGCTTCTCCTGGCCCCTTTGGGCCACGTCGGGATGCTCATGTGTAAGCAGGGTCCGCCAGATCTTGTTCATGGACAGAGCAGCCTGTGCGTCGTATATGAAGCCCATTGGCACAGCCCGAGTGTCAGCCTTCCCAGATGCAGTGTAGCTGGTGTGGAGCAGCCTTAGAGATGGTTTCGGAACCCATGGGGCGCTGATCGTCGGCAGCCCTAGCTCCTGCTCCGTTTTGGGACTATGCCCGGCGCTCATTTTGTGGCCCGGGGGCCCCTCAACACGTCCTACTCCCAACCCCACCCTTGGCTCCAGCTGTATGCGCCACTATTTGGCATGCGCCAGCGTATTGCACGACACCCCCTTGGCAGCGGTTGCCCTGCTCAGGCTGCACAGCATGCACGGGTGCTGCCAACCATCTCGGTCGGCCGACACAGGGCGCAAACAGGCCACCAGCATGCATTCGGTGCACGCCAACACTTGGGGTACTTCAGCTCTCCTCCATTTGCCGGCACCCCGTGCGTCCCCCCGCCAGTGACCTGCTTGCAACCCGCCTCGGCCAACTCAGCCGGTTTCTAATCAGGCTCAAGCTTTGGGTGTGCGCTTCAAGTGACCTGCAGGGCCACCATGTTCAGGGTTTAGGGTTTGGGTACGAACCCGTGTGTGATCGGACAGCGATAGATAGATAGATAAGTTACTCATACCATAGCATCACTGCCATCGGCCTCGCGCTCATTAGAGCGGACCTCCTCATTCCTAACCTTCCAACGGATCTGCCAGCAAGCATACACATAAGGGGCAACAATATCAGCAAGCACAGAGCCACCAAGGAAATCAAAATCAAGCAACTTGTAAGC